ACATGTATACCTTTTGTGGATTCATATAAATTAACAATGTTTTAATTACAGTGCTGTAGCACACACATTCTTCATTTTTACATTTGTTCCCTTCTTTCACTACATTTCCTTTATCTCTTCCTTTGTTTTCGCTCACATACCCCCCTTTTCCTTTTTTCTTCTTTTTTTTAATTACTATTTCTTTTTCATAATTTTTATGTAGTTACACTAGCCCCTTTTGCGCACTTTCTTGCATACACCACACAAAACTCTCTTCTAAACATTTGAGTGCTAAAAATTGAAAAAATATTTCCTAGTCACACTTCCTCAGGTACACACATGTACATACATTTTCCTGTATCACTAATTTTATTTGCAGTATGTTTTTTTTTTCTTTAGACATTTCAGATATTTATTTTCTATTTTTCTTTTTTATGTCTTAATTAACCATTTGGCTTGCATTTCCATCTAGTAGTAGTTAACATAGTACCTAAGATTTTCCTGTCTTATTCCTTTGTTGTCCGTAAGTAATAGCAGGTTAGTCTACATATCGTATTGTTTTTGTTTGCCCCCTGGTGGGGATTGCTATGTATTTTTTAGCTAGGAGTTCCTTTTTTATAGTCTCTGTCTTGCATTTAACATTTCTTCAGGTGTCTATCCACAATTTACATCTATTTGCACCAGTTCTCTTTAACAGCTGCTATGTACTCGGCATAACTATCTATGTGATTTATGATTTAATTTTTCATATATACAGTCAGGTCCATAAATATTGGAACATCGACACAATTCTAATCTTTTTGGCTCTATACACCACCACAATGGATTTGAAATGAAATGATGGGCTTTAACTGCAGACTTTCAGCTTTAATTTCAGGGTATTTACATCCAAATCAGGTGAACGGCGTAGGAATTACAACAGTTTGTTTATGTGCCTCCCACTTTTCAAGGGACCAAAAGTAATGGGACAGATTAATAGTCATAAATCAAACTTTCACTTTTTAATAAATGGTTGCAAATCCTCTATATATACATATATATGTATATAGGAGCATTGTGGCTGATTTATATATTGTTAGCCAGCCTTAAGACATAAGTAGCTCTCCGATGTTATAGCATGTTATTTGAATAAGTATTTTATATTGGAATCATGCTTCTACATTTAGCACGTCACAGCATTATCTTTTGACATTTTCGTAAAAGTATGGGGTTGATATGGTATTGTCACAGCGTCAGGAAGCTATGACTTTCTCTGCTGATGTTACACTGACAGTCAATGTCTCTTTGATTTTTGAATGAAGACATCTTTCTTCTGTCCTGTTATCAAATGTATCAAAAGAGCTCTCTGATGGATCATATTCTGGGTTGGAGAGAACTATTTGTTTCTCACATTCATCTTCCATTTTTAAATGTTTGTACGAATTTTAGAACACTTTGATAAAATAGAAAAAATGTCACAATAAAGTATTAGTTCTCCAACCCAACTCTGTAAGATAATACCATTATACAGAATAATAATAAAATGATGTAATGTTCTACAGTTGATAAGAAAATAATAGTTTCATGTATAGTCATTAGACTGGATGACAGAAATATAATAAATAAAAGGTATTTCTAAAATACAAGGGTTACTTAATTCTTTACCAACAGATAAAATAAAATGATAATATCTACTGGAGACTACTGAATCGCAAAAATATATGAATTCGGTCCAATGGATATATGACTGATAGAAGGACTGTGATTTGATTTGATTTTGGTTCCAAATATAAATATATATACTGAAGCTGTTATGGTTATACTTATCTCACAACACAATAGTTTGCTCAGATCCAAGTCAGATACTGACATCAGATAGAAATCAAGCTACACATTGAAGTTGACTGGTGAAAAAAAAAACAAAAAAAAAAAATCAGTCACACAAGAGTCGCATAAAAAAAAAAATTCATCTTTGTGCTAATTTTTTTACATGGCTTGTGGGCTGACGTGTAATTCAGCACTAATTTTCTGTTGCAATATTGGGGAAAGTGGTGACTTATGGCTGTGAACTGAAACACATCGTGGCTGTAATGTTGCCAATTTAAGTAATTAAAACTGGGATAGGATGGATTACAAGTCTCACTCCCAATAGTTCAAAGCCAGTAAATTACAGTGCAGAGAGGTATCCATTGGTGAACCCTCCAACCAATGGCTGGATGCTCTGTATTGCTCTTCTATCCATTTCCATGTATGCATCATCTACTTAATAATATCTAATCATAATGATATGTTGTTTTGTTTTTGTTTTAAACAATGTAGTTTTAAGAAAAAAAATGAAAACCTCCAATGAAGAAATTGACAGGTAATATTTAATAGATTTGTTATAGGGAGTGGGTTGATATGGATTCTTGTATTCTGGGTGGTTGGGATGTCAGATTGTGAGAGGCTTTGGTGGCTAGCGGTTTTGAGCCCCCTAGCCTGCTGGGTGGTTACTAGGGAACAATAAACTGAGCATACTTTGGTCCACTAATCATTCTGCCAAGTGAGTTTGGAGATACCATAGTCCAGCCATATTATCACTCTCCACCCAACAGACCAGGTGGTAAAGGAAGGGGTAGAGGCCATGGACCATTATGTTAATTTATTACACAAATGGAGGAAAAGGGTGTAGGAGTCATTTACTGGACATAGCCTGATTTACATTTGGGTCTGGGGACCCCACAACCAGAGGTGTAACTAGAAACCACAGGGGGCCCAGTGCAAAAATTGCCCTGGGGCCAACCCCCTGTACATCAACTCCCCCGCCCCCCCCGCCACCCTCCTCCCATATGTCTATCGTCCCCCCATACGTTACCCCCTCCCACCACTCATTCAAACAGATACACATGTAGACACACACATAGACACACACACATACATACAAACACACATACAGACATACATACAGACGCACAGACATACATACACACACTGACATGCATACACGCAGACCGACATACAGACACACACACATACACATACACACAGAGACACATACATACAGACACACAAACAGACATACACATACAGAGACACACAGACAGACAAATACACACACATTCAGACATACACACATACACACCCTCACATACAGACACACAGACAGACACACCCTCACATACAGACACACAGACACACACCCTCACATACAGACATACACACACATACATACACACACACAGACAGCAAGACATACAAACAATTACATACATACACACATACATAAGTTGGGCTGCTGTTTGTTTTTTGAGTTCGGCTCCCTGTTGTATAAAGTGTCCCCTTATGCTCTTATGTGCTTCCCACCAAATAGATGGGTGGTCTCGTCAAGTGTATTTGTCTGGAAGTAGTCAGTAAGAACCTTCCCAATGTGGTCGGTCAGGTCTGGTCGGGACAGTAGGCACTCGTTTAGCCTCCATTAGGATTGTGGTCCGAAGATTGGGGATTTGGCAGTGATTATGATCGGGGCATGATCCGACCACGTCACCACCCTGAGCTCAGTATCCTGCACCAGGGGGAGGTTGTATCGTGTTGTGAGGAAGTAGGTGTATTAATGGTGTGAATGCAAGTAAAAAGTGTAGTCCCTTTCGTCGGGGTGGTGTGCTCTCCAGAAGTCAAAGAATCTATGTTTGGTGAATAGGGATTTGATCAGAGTGAGTTGTTGGGCGGGGATGTGAGATGTACCCATGGGGAAGTCCCATTTAGGGTCAAGTGCTACATTAAAGTCTCCCCCTATGATGAGAACCCCTTCGGCGATGGACTGTAATTTACATGTAGTGCGTTGGAAGAAACAGTATGGTCTACCATTTGGTGCATATATGGATGTGAATGTGTAGGTTTGTCCTGTGATCGTGCCCTTTAAAAAAAAAAAATCAACCCTCTCGGTCTTCTTTTCTTGGAATGGCACCTATACTTGCTAATCAGTATTGCCGTGCCCCTCGACTTTCCCCCGTGGAAGTTGCTGTAATTTCCCAGTGGGAAGTGGTGGTTGGCCAGTTTTAGTCTGTCCCCCTCCCGGAAGTGTGTCTCCTGAATCATAACTAGAGGTTTTTTTGCATGGAAATCTCTTAGGGCTCCAAATCTTTTCTCCGGCTTATTAAGCCCTCTGGCATTTTATAGAGAGGATGGTGAGATTGATCTGTGTAAGCTTGATCCTGGTGGAGCGCCAAGCGCTTCAAGCACTAAAGCAGTTCTGACGAGTCGAGGGGGGTTAGTCAGGGATGTCAGGGGGTGGGGGCAGGAATGGTGGACTTCGGGGAAGGGTAGGAAAATGAGAGGGTAGAGGGGAAAGGTAAGAAGTAGAAGAAGAAATATGTGAGTTATTAAGAAGCCTTGTCACTCAGTAGTGGTGACTAGGAACAAGCGTCGGGGTACAGACCCCATGACTGTCAGTAACAGTGCCGGTTGTCAGACTGACAGTCATGGGGTGTAACAAGGTTAAGGTTTAAAAGTGCCAATTTCTAATTGAAATTTGCACTTTTTGTAAAATTAATAAGTGGGTCCACTCTTCACACAAAGCATTTCAGCAAGCTAAAGTGATTTAGGGGTCTGAAGTGTCCCTTTAAGGAAAGAAAACTGTGAAGAAGAGAACATATCCTAGATCCGAACAAATAAACGTTGTTATGCAGCCAGCATGGATTGAATAAAGGAGACATTAATAATGAACCAATACAATCTGATTAAAAAGCCTTTAATATTGTTGAACAGTCAGAAAAACGCATAAAATTAACTTTAAGAATCTTGACAACATACAGGTGATTAAAACCGCACATTTTATTAATCAAGAAAACGACAAGAAGAAGACAATCAAGAAAAAAACATTAATAATCAAAAATGAAAAACATGCATGTAACAATGTTAAATTAACTCTATAATTAAGTGCGTTAAGGATAATATGTTTGTAGATGTTAAAATGGTGGAAATAGTGGAAATAAGATAATATAAATACCTTGTGATTTAAAAATAATCACAAAGTTGTATTGAAAGTAGGATTGTGATGGTAGAGTCTGGCATTTAATGTAAATTAATTTTTTTAACATAATATATAAAAAATATTTATTTAATGTTTTAATGTAGCTTGCACTCCCTATCTAGCAAGCCTTAGTCACTGAATAAATGTTTAGTGTCAATTTAAGTAGGTAAAGAGTATTTTGTTGTATATTAACCCCCTTAAGGACACATGACGGAAATATTCCGTCATGATTCCCTTTTATTCCAGAAGTTGTGTCCTTAAGGGGTTAATAATATAAGAAGACTTGTTTTAATCGAAATCGTATTACCGGAGAATGGTCATTGTAAATTTTAAAACAAATCAGGGCAGATGAGAAAAATCTCCAACTTACGAGCAACTCGTAACTTTATTTTATTTCAACTCTCTCGGCCTATAATTTCATGTATTAGTAAATTCCCCACAATATCCATTTTACTGAATAAACCCCATATATTTAATGCACTTCATATTAAGCTGTGAATAACGATCATTTAACCCCTTAAGGACACTTGACATGTGTGACATGTAAAGATTCCCTTTTATTGCAGAGGTTTGGTCCTTAAGGGGTTAAAGTGTTTCTAACTTTCTTCTTCTTCAATATAAAGTTTGTTGTAATGATTTTACATTCCTCGATTTAGGGGAAAAAAGACTGAATATAGATAAGGTATAAATAAATATTGATTCATATATCTTAACTAGAATGAATTACCACTTGTCTGAAATAGAAATCAGCCAATGAACTTTCTGTTTCTATTAATGTAGTTTTAGGAAGAAAGTCTAATGAAAAGTTAGTGTACTATCAGATCTTCCCAACAAGGTGCAAATTTATTGAAATAAACTTTCAAGTGGTGAAAATCATTATCGACATTTAGACCCCACCTGGGTCAAGATCATGATCATTGTCTGTGAAAGATAATCCTGGCTGTGAAAAGTTGTTTTATAATGTTGACGCAAATGTGTTTAAGCAAATTCCATTGCTTCACTAATTCTATGGAAAATTAATGGTGCAATAGTCCAGCCAATCACATTTATCTTAAATGCTGCAGAGATAATATGTGTTCATTAAAGGTTAGTAAATAGCTAACTTACTGTACTCTATTGCACCAAAACAACTTTAGCTTCATTAAACAGTTTTGGTGCATAGATCTGCATTAGGTCAATTTTTTTGTAGTTTAGGAGTAAAAACACTTTGTTTATGTCAACCTAATTCTCCTCTTCCCCCCACCCCACTCTGCCTGAGACTTACACAGCCTCAAAGCAGAAAAAAAGTTTAATTTCTACAGCAGAGTGTGTTTAATTTAGAAATTTGTATCTCCTGCCTGGTAATTGTAGGCTCTACCAGACAATAACAGAGCAGGAGATGAGAACTTTGACATTAGACACACCGTGCAATAAGAAACATTTGAAGTGATTTAGATTTTAATTACATGCCTAACTTGTCATAAAAAAAAATCCTGATTTGAAGAGAAATGTGCGCTCTTTTGAATTGATATACAATAATTTGGGAATTTGCTATAGAATAATTTGGGAAAACTGCCCCTGGTGGTCAAGCTGATAGCCAGGAGGGCTTCCAGAGTTCGGAGGTATGCAGAAAGCACCTTGCATGCACGTTTAGTTCTGAAAGTGACTTAGAACTTCAGCAATCTGTAAATCTCATTGCAGCTATAATACAGACCTTCCAATAAGCCTGTCAGGCAGCTGGAATAGTCCCTTCAGGCTCACTGAGTCCAATTTATTCCATGTTGTGCATGCTACAAGTGCACATGTTACATGCAAAACATAAGCCAAGATATTTCATCTCCCTGGAGAGGAGACCAGTGATGAATTGCAACTCTGGTGCACAACAGTAAACTGGACTGTTCATCTCATTCAGTCCAGTCACAGCCAGGACACAAATTACAAATGAAGTGGAAAATTTTTTTCAATTATATTCATCTTTGCCACAATACTTTCTGTATGCTGACTGCCAGGTGCAAAGGACAGAGCTTATAGCAATGATTGACAGGGAGCTAAGATGGAGGTGTCCAGTCACAGAATAAAGAAGTGTGGGTCTCTAATTTTTTTTTTTTTTTCACATCTCATAGACACATTTGTTAAACATGGGAAATAAGTAAATATAATATTAATATGTCTTTTGGAGGGATTTACCTGAAGTAAATTTTGATTTCCATTTCGTAATGGAATGGGAGGAGGGGACATTCTCTAGGAAGTATATTTTTATTTAATTTGTAAATACATAACACGAAGTCGAATGTTTCCACGTTGCAGGCTGATAGCTTAGTGCCATTCTCATTTTAATCAGTCTTTGCTTTTATCCGTGCAAAGCACTAGAGGGCAGTGTGGAGCTACTAATAATCACTATACGATGATTTCTAATTCCACTGCCTTAAGCCTTTAGCGGAGATATTTTTATAAAGTAAGCCTACAACAACAGATAAAGTAATATACAAAAGTACAATAGAATTATTATTTTTTTTTAACATTTTATGTTATTTTACATGTAGGTTAATGAACCTCTGGATCTAAGAATTTTATTTTTTGCATTTTATTAATGCTACAGCTAGGAAAAATTATTATAATAATTATTATTTTTTTTAGTGTTCTTGCAGTCTTTCAAAGATAACTTTAGCTTTTTGAACAGGAATTCCATTTCGCTTATATAAAATTCCAAATAATATATCTCTCTAAAGATGGTTTTGTTCCACCAAATCTCTGTGCGTTTATTGCAGAAGGTGGGGATTCGAACCCATATATATTGTATGTACACATTGTATATAAATAATTGTGTCTAATGACCACAAATTAGTTTAGTACCCACATTTTAAGAAAGTAACAGACAGGTTTATGGACTAATCCAGGAATAGACTACTACTGACAATTCCTACATAAACAGAGTTACAAAGCAAGTCTGCTAATGAGCTTTGTATTTTAATGCACATAACAAAACCAAGTCAATTCTGTTCTTTTTAATTTCTATGTATTGATTTGCAGAGAAACGTGGATATTACTTTGTGTTTGCTACTTTTAATGCCTGAGCTCAATAAATAGACAGTTAGGTCAAAATAAACATACAAATGCCCATTCACATATCCCTGATGCGTTAAATAGGCATAATACTCTTTGCAGCATGGACGTCTATTAGGCAGCCTATGGTGTGATTTAATGGATGGGGTTGAAGGACTATAGTACTATAAATGTATCTAGTATTTTTTGCAAGTTAAAAAAATTGTTTTTAATGAGGAACAGTCAGCTCCGCATTGGTGGCACAAATCAAGAAAACTTGTTGGTATTGAAGTGTATCTTTGAGTGAAGAATGCAGATTATGTCCACAGGACTTGTGGAATCTGGTTTTGATATCTTCATAAGATTTACTCGGCACAGTTGCATCCTTTGAAGACATCTGCCACGATATTGCTATATGAATACATATTCAGTCATATATTGCTCCCATGATGCTGTGCAGCACACGTGTCTTCACGGCCTATGTGCATGGCATCATGGGAGCCATAAGGATTTACATCAGATGCCAGACTGTGCCTTGATAGTTTAGTGTTTTTAAAATTAGCTGTTAGGAACTCACAACAGGTTATAGTTTTCCAAAGTCAGTTAATATGGCCTAAATAAAAAATTATCACAATTCACTTTGTAGTGAAAAACCTCCCCTCCAAAAAAAAAATAAAAAAAATAAAACTTAATAGAATACAAAAAAAGCAGAAAATAAAGTCTGAAGTTATAAAAGCTATAGCATAAAATCTCTTACTTATATTGGTACACATTTTAAGGATAGCAATGCATATGTTCAACCATATAAGAATCCCATTCATAATTTGATCCTAAAGAGAAACTACACCAGTATAGAATACCCTTACTTTGCTTTTGAAATCCAATTAAATTAGTGGGACTTACATTTTTATACAGGATCTGGTTTGCTCTGAAATAGTATTATGTCATTGGTTCTTAAGAGTTTAAACAAATGATATGGCTGCTGTATACACAGATTGATCATGTGATGTCATTCTACAGTGAATCTTAATTTGAAACATCCTTTACAGTATTGAAAATCAATCAATGACCGTTTACATTATTATTTTGAATACAGTACAATTGTGATATATTGTTTATTCACTAAACCATTTTTAAAGTCGGAAATCGTGTTAAAAAAAACAAAGAGGGACTGTAGTGTAATTTGAGTATGACCTGAGTTGACTCTGCTCATTATTTGGATAAAAAACAAATGGTGGACTTGGAAAATATCTTGTGACTTAAGTTTCACCCATGGTGAATTTCTTAAAGGAACACTCCACTCCCCAACCCCCCAAAAAAACTATTTAATATATTTTTCCCCTAATGAAAACATGCAAACTTATAATTATGCATTTTTTCATTGGGAGTATGTCTAATAACAGACTGCAAAAGCTGCAGATCTCTTGTCTGAAGCCTTTGCAAGCCTTCCCCTTCTAACCCTGCCCAGACTTTGTATGGCTGTTAAATCAAAGACTTCCCAATGCATCTCAATCAGAAGTCCTTGCAGTGTAGCTGGTCTGGGCAATTACTGCCTCTTGAGTTAAGCTCCACTGAGCTAACCAAACCAGGAAGTAACAGAACCAGTTGTCTGAATGAAAGACATAGGGGTGTGTAACAAGGTCAATTTATAAAAGTAACAGTTTCTATTGAAGTCTGCACTTTTTGTAACATGAAAAAGAGGACACACTCTTCACACATAAACCACTTCAGCTAGCTGAAATTATTTAGGTGTGTGGAGTGTACCTTCAAAGGAGATGCAAATTCACTTTGCATGAGATTATCTGGATTTGTGCTGTTCAGATTCTCCAACAATGAATAATATAAATTTAAGTGACTTGTATTTTTTTTTTTTTTGTAAATACCTTAAGGTCCTATTTCGTTGATTCTGCCAGGAATAATGACAGCTCAAGTCAACTCAGGTGCACCAAGAAAAACATGAATCATGGCCTATTTTTAAACATGCAAGTGACATTAAAAACAGACATCATTAAAAGAAACCAATCTGTCATACATTAGCTGGGTCTCCAGGGTTTGAGATATACTCCACGCATCTCATTGAAAGGAATGACACTGAAGTCAATGGAAGTAGTACTTTTCTCCAGACCAAGAATGCAACTATTACATCTTCAGCTGCCTTGGAATTCATTTTTTTTTACTTTCTAAATGCTTAAAAAGAAGAAAAAAAAACAGTAGGTAACATTAGGTAAATTACTAAATATATTTTAAGCTATGTGTATTGACCAATGGGATGACAATTTGTCCCCATCACACAAAAAGAATGTTGTCCATTCCTTACATAGATCATCATATATTATATTTATCATATATTGTAATATTTAAAGGTAATTATACATTAAATTAAAAAAACATTATATTACTGTTTGCTTACTCTGTGACCGTTTTTTCCCAGGGATTGTTTTGTGTATGAGTAAATCCCAGAGCTTTACAACAATATTTATTTCAATGTGTCTTTAACCCCTTAAGGACACAGCAATTTTTGCATGTTCTGCTGTTTGTGTTCAACTGCAATTTGCATCTCACTCATTTTTTGTACCAACACATATTATATACCGTTTTTAGACAACAAAAATGGCTTTAATTTGGTGTGACATATACATATATAAATTATCATGTTTTACAAAAAAAATGCAAAATAATGGGAAAAAGAAAACCAAAAAAATATTTTTTTTTCCAAATTTTGGCAATAATAGCTTGTGCATAATATGTCCAGCTTAGGAAAAGTTATTCAAAATAAATTAATCTATGTGTCTTGATTTATAGAGTACATCATATGTATAGGATTTAAAATTATTTTGAAAGTTACAGGTCACAAAATACAAGGACTAAAATAAAATGTTAATGTGAAACAATTTTAGAAGCTGTTTGTCTTGTAGGTTTAGTAGCCATCACAGAAAACAAAATTACCACACAAATGTATATATTTATATAAAGTAGACATCACAGGCTACTTACCTAAGGTTATTTTGACACTTTTTACATAACCATTTCACCGCCAGTCTCTGAAGATTGGCGTAAAATTGTGTCTATTTTGGCATATACACATGTAACAAGGTTTTTGTAATGTGTATTTCGTAAAGCTGGTGTGTGCTATTCCTGCACAGAAACCCATATTGTGTTCAGCTACATCTACTGAGTATAATGATACCCCCATTGCATGCCTTTGTCACTATTCTGTGAAGCTACAATGCCATATAGGAGACCATGCTATTTCAGTTTCTATAGTTAGAATTTTCATAGATGGTCATATGTCTGAATTTGTGGCATTAAAGCCATTTGACTGTTAAAATAACCCCACAAAAGGCCTTCCATTTGAGAAAGCAGACACTACAGGGTATCTTATTAGGCATACATTATATCTTAACTTGCTACCATTTTTTCACCAATTTATTTCAAATTTTGTGTTGAGAAAAAAAATATAGATTTTTTTACGTATATGTTGCATTTCGCTGGGTATTTCGTACATTTGATAAGTGCCACGGTCATAAATTCCCCTTACGTATGCTCAGTTACCTCTTCTGAATAAAATAATATGCCCAATGTATGACCTAGACACGATTTTCTGAAGTTACAGTGCTGTAAAAGAGACCTGTCAATTTCAGATTTTTAAGTGTGAATTTTCATAGATAGTTTTGATGGGTCCGTATTCTATTTTTAAATATTTTAGCAGGCTGCTTTTTCCAACTACCCCAAAAAGGCATACTATTTCTTAAAGAAGACACCCAAGGGTATTTGAAAAGGCATATTTTGAACCTTAGCGTGGGATAATTTTTCGCTAGCTTGTCAAGTGTAGTGGTAAGATTTTTTTCTGCCTTTTTGACACACACAGTAAGTTTGAACTGTATATTTTGCAAACCTTATGTGTGCTACGGCTTGGAAAGTTGGAGCTGGAGTTGCTACACGAGCTGCCGAGGGTAGGGACAGTCTGAAAGCCTGAAATTGAAAGCGAGATAGTTGGTCAGCTGCCGTGTTGTATATGCCAGGAACATGAGAGCATACAATGTGGAACTGATGAGTAGCCGCCAGCCACGTCAGTTTCCTAAGGAAACTCATAATCGCCAAGGAGGAAGAGTGACCCTTATTGATAATGTGGCATATTGCCAGGTTGTCAGAAAAGCAGCGTACGGACTGACCTTTCCATAACCTACACCAAGTGACAGCTGCAGCAACTATCAGGTATACTTCAAATAGGGCTGAGTTAGTGTGAAAACCCTTAATGCCCTGTGTTTCTGTAGGCCAGGTCCCCCAGAGCCATGCTGTGCCGAAAATGGACGCATATCCCGCGGATGATGCCGCGTCTGTCCAAATGACCGGTGACTACGAATCAATCTGCGGGAGGAACATGCTCCTCCCATTCCAGTCCGAGAGGAATTTGTACCACATCTGGAGGTCAGCGGTCGAATTGTGTCTGGTCCTTCGGTTTTAGTAGGTGACACGGGGACACCAAGGGAGGTGAATAGTTTGACTGCTTTGTCTAGACTACATAGGGGGTTGGAATTAGATTCTATGAAAAGAAAATCATCTAAGTAATGTATCACATTTGGGCACCTGCAGGTATTGAGGAGGAGCCAACACAAAGCTTCTGTGAACGTGTCAAAAATCCTCGGACTACTCTTGGCCCCAAAGGTGAGCTTTGTAAAAAAGTAGTAAGCGTCTTGCCACTTAACGCCATGCAGGTGCCACAAAGTGGGGTCTATAGGTAATAATTTAAAAGCATTCACAATATCCGTCTTGCTAAGCCAAGCCCCCAACCCTTCCGATCTGTGGAGTATTGTAGTGGAATAGTGGAATAGTGGAGTATTGTAGGGAAAATTCCTCAGATGGAATCAATGAGTTTAGGCTGGGGATGGCTGAGGAGTGGGGTGCGGATAAGTCAATGATGAGTCTTAGTTTCTCAGAATTTTTGCTGGAAACCAGCCCAATAAGGTTAGTTCTCCAGCTGGAAAAATGGGGGTTACCAAAAGGCCCAATGACAAATCCCTGATCCACTTCCAGTTATAACAATGTGGTGACTGCAGTAGGGTGATTTGTGGCAGACTGTAAATTGTGACACTCTAATACCCCTGTTGGCATGTAAATGAGCCCTGTGTGAAAACCCTGGGTGAGACCTGTACATAAAAATTCAACGAGGTGTTTGGAGGGGTGAGTGGACAGCATACATGCAAGCACAGGAATGTTCACCGGAGACAAATAAGGTTTCTGGTACATTTTATTAGGGCACATAGATTTCGCATGTGCCCTGAAACAATGCGAGCATAAGTGTAATAAGCGGCAGGCGCTGTAACCGCAGGAGCCCTCGTTGAAATTATTGCAAATCTGAGATTTGCCTAGGTACACTACTGGACGACCCAGTTTGTCTCTGGTCTGTTCTCAGCCCTTGGGGGATGCTGTAAGGATGAGCCGGGAGCACTGTCCGAACAGAGAGGGCAAAAATTAGCTGCGTGAGCGGGTGACATACATATGGCACAAGCTGGTGTCCTAAGCCCAGTGAAATGTCTGAGGAATAGTTCATTGTCCAGTTGGCTCCAATCCATCTGGATGCCGTACTGGGACAATGTGGCAGACACTTTTGATGAAAAGGACTTGTGATAGTCGTAAAAAGTATAGCCACCATACTTATTACCAAGGTCCACCAGCTTATGCATATATAGATCCAGTTCCTCCCTCCTATGGGGATGAACCGTGCATAGAATATCTCTAAAGATACCGAAGGCCAGAACAAAATCAGGAATGGCCAGTTTCTTACTGAGTCTGGGGGCTCTGGCTTTTAACACCACGAGATGTCCCCGTAGTCGTAAGACCGGTTTTCCACAATATCCTGGGAGGCAATGAGCAGTGAGACTAAGTTAACGGCCTTGCTTTCCAGGGTGTCCTTTTTAACCATGTGGGCAGGCTTAATAACGTGGGCGGCTGCCTTAATGGATATGGAATTACCCGCTATTGCTGTGGGTATGGCCGGGATTACTTCGGTGAGAGGGCCAGGAGGCTGTACGGGGAAGCTACGGGCTTCCAGCCTCTCCAGCCTGTCGTTGACGTTCCCCATAGAAGAGATTAGGGAGGCAACCATAGCATGGAGAGTCGGATCTTGAGAGCTGCTTGTGCCTTCCCCTGCGTCTGTATTAAGGGTATCGGTTCTTAGCAATTTGAACAGTTCTGCTTTCCTGGCAGTAGCCGGGAAGGGGATACTGCGTTTACGTAATTCTCCAGTGATGTGGGGGATAGTCCATGATCTGATGGACGAGGGACTTCCCATGTCGCCCTTGCGAGTCGGGGTAAGTGACCTAGCAGGGGTGCTTGGGATTGACATATCCTCACCATCGTCTGGGAGTATGGACATACTGAAAATATATAATAGACATGTTGGTAACCAGGGTTGGGACTTAACAGGTGGCTAGCTAGTACCAGATGGCGAAAGATTATTCTAGGTTTTGTGGCAGGTGAGGCCCTGCTAATGCCAAGTGGCTAGAGAGGCTCTATCTATGAGTTGGCGCGAGGGGCGTGGTAACCTACACCGGTGATGGGACGTTGGCCTCTCCATGAGTAGACGGGGGGGGGGTATTTGGCGGTGACTGGTGTCGCCCTCTCTATACAGGGAGTGCAGAATTATTAGGCAAATGAGTATTTTGAGCACATCATCCTCTTTATGCATGTTGTCTTACTCCAAGCTGTATAGGCTCAAAAGCCTACTACCAATTAAGCATATTAGGTGATGTGCATCTCTGTAATGAGAAGGGGTGTGGTCTAATGACATCAACACCCTATATCAGGTGTGCATAATTATTAGGCAACTTCCTTTCCTTTGGCAAAATGGGTCAAAAGAAGGACTTGACAGGCTCAGAAAAGTCAAAAATAGTGAGATATCTTGCAGAGGGATGCAGCACTCTTAAAATTGCAAAGCTTCTGAAGCGTGATCATCGAACAATCAAGCGTTTCATTCAAAATAGTCAACAGGGTCGCAAGAAGCGTGTGGAAAAACCAAGGCGCAAAATAACTGCCCATGAACTGAGAAAAGTCAAGCGTGCAGCTGCCACGATGCCACTTGCCACCAGTTTGGCCATATTTCAGAGCTGCAACATCACTGGAGTGCCCAAAAGCACAAGGTGTGCAATACTCAGAGACATGGCCAAGGTAAGAAAGGCTGAAAGACGACCACCACTGAACAAGACACACAAGCTGAAACGTCAAGACTGGGCCAAGAAATATCTCAAGACTGATTTTTCTAAGGTTTTATGGACTGATGAAATGAGAGTGAGTCTTGATGGGCCAGATGGATGGGCCCGTGGCTGGATTGGTAAAGGGCAGAGAGCTCCAGTCCGACTCAGACGCCAGCAAGGTGGAGGTGGAGTACTGGTTTGGGCTGGTATCATCAAAGATGAGCTTGTGGGGCCTTTTCGGGTTGAGGATGGAGTCAAGCTCAACTCCCAGTCCTACTGCCAGTTCCTGGAAGACACCTTCTTCAAGCAGTGGTACAGGAAGAAGTCTGCATCCTTCAAGAAAAACATGATTTTCATGCAGGACAATGCTCCATCACACGCGTCCAAGTACTCCACAGCGTGGCTGGCAAGAAAGGGTATAAAAGAAGAAAATCTAATGACATGGCCTCCTTGTTCACCTGATCTGAACCCCATTGAGAACCTGTGGTCCATCATCAAATGTGAGATTTACAAGGAGGGAAAACAGTACACCTCTCTGAACAGTGTCTGGGAGGCTGTGGTTGCTGCTGCACGCAATGTTGATGGTGAACAGATCAAAACACTGACAGAATCCATGGATGGCAGGCTTTTGAGTGTCCTTGCAAAGAAAGGTGGCTATATTGGTCACTGATTTGTTTTTGTTTTGTTTTTGAATGTCAGAAATGTATATTTGTGAATGTTGAGATGTTATATTGGTTTCACTGGTAATAATAAATAATTGAAATGGGTATATATTTGTTTTTTGTTAAGTTGCCTAATAATTATGCACAGTAATAGTCACCTGCACACACAGATATCCCCCTAACATAGCTAAAACTAAAAACAAACTAAAAACTACTTCCAAAAATATTCAGCTTTGATATTAATGAGTTTTTTGGGTTCATTGAGAACATGGTTGTTGTTCAATAATAAAATTAATCCTCAAAAATACAACTTGCCTAATAATTCTGCACTCCCTGTATAATTTGCGAGGCGGCTAACTATGATTTGGCCCGAGGGGCGTATAGTACCTCGAAGTGGAGGATGGGAGTTGGCCTCGTGGACCGCTAGGACTAAGGGGCAGGGAAAATAACTAAACGGCCGTGTTGAAAATAACGTGAACCAACATACCTGCAGCAAAAGTGAGCCCTGGCTTCTGTATAAGAGAAATCAGAAGTCTCTTAAGTAGGGGGGGTTTAGCTTAGATGACCTGTTTAGGGGTATTCGAGGTTCCTGGAGGTATGAGAATTCAGATAATGTATTCTTGTAGGACATATACATAAGATTGTATAACTGAAAGTAGTAAGCGCTTAGGGGGTGACCGCAGAGAGTACTGTCCCCACTACAGACACAATGCCACCAGTAGCCAATGTACTTTAACATCAAAAGGGTTAATTATCTTAAAACCTTAAAGTTTTACAACTATCAATGCAGATATTGTATTATCTAATCAGCGTAAGTAATGCATATACTATTATAACTACCATATTTGTCAAGCATGTAGTACAATATATAATGTAATTAACCAGAGTTCTACAAGCAGTATATACAGAACAACACAGTATTTACTGAATTAAAGGCATTTGTAATGAGATATATATGTATAATACTCTTATGGCTGAACTAAGGGTCAGCCAGCATCAGGCCCGTACCATGCCCTCCTTCCCCCTTTAACTTATGCAAAACAGGCAGACTGGGTCTTACTCAGACGACCCAGCCCACTTCCCCCCTTTTCCCTGTGTGATGCCGGCGGGAACAGCGACCCCTAACGATATAGGGGTCTGTGAGGCCTGTTCCCGCTCATGCCGTGTAGTTTGCCCCCCCAAAGACCCAAACTAACCTTCCCCCTTAAGCCTAAGTATAGCCGCCGGCCGGGAACAGGGACTCCTAACGATAATGGAGTCTCTGTACCTGTTCCCGTGCTTTCCAGCCAGTAAAAACCCCCTGGCTTACCGCCCGAACGAGCTGGTGGTGAGAGAGGCCGGTCGGGTTGTGGAGCCGGTGGTGCCGGGCTGAAGAGCCGGTCGGGCCGGGCTGGAGAGCCGGTCGGGCCGGGCTGGAGAGCCGGTCGGGCTGTGGAGCCAGTGGTACTCACGGTGTGACGTCGACAAAGTGCCGCTTTTTTGTCCTCTCACCGGAAGTGACGTCACGCAACAGGGAGCCGGAAGAGAAAGAAGCTGGCGAGTATCACGCTGTTTGTCTAGACCAACGAAGGTAAGTAAGGGAAGGCGGGAGTCCCTTAAGTAGTCTATAGCCCCTCCCACAACTTCAGGCCATGCCTTCCAATATATGAAATGGACACAAATTTAACATGCACTCTCACTAACACACACACATTCACTGTCAAACACACACAATGTTATGTACACACCTTTTCACTAGCACACACACACTTTCACTGGTATACTTACACATTCAAACCAGTTTACCCATACCACCACCACCACCAATATGGCATTTACAGGTACTGGATCTGGAAAAAGACATCTGACTGAAACATTTTCTGGTGTTGAGATAAGTGAGTGCTAAGTATCAGTGAATATTAAGTGGTTATTCACTAAACAGTGAATTCCAGGGGATTGTAAACTAAGTTGCGAAAATAGATATTTTGAAAACATTTTCGAACACAACTATAGTCACAGCTTGGCCTATGCTAGACTAAATTATGGTATTCAATTTTCAGTCCACTACAGTATAGTTTTCCATGACGAATTCCAACAGAGAATGACTAAATGCTAGAAGCAGAAAATGGAGACTCGCCACATAGCTGTTTATTGGCAAGCATCACTAGTAGAGTTGAGCGAACATTACGATTTTTTTAACCCAAACCCGAGCCTGGACATTTCAGTAACAGTTCAGGTTCGAGTTTGGTGATTTAATGGCGCGTTTTGAAAAGCTGCAGGGCAGCCAATCAACAAGCATTTAACTCGCGTGCCCTTAGAAGACATCACAGCCATGCCTACTAATGGCATGGCTGTGATTGGCCAGTGCAGCATGTGACCCAGCCTCTATATAAGCTAGTAGGGGAATGTCTATTAAACACTGTTAAAAATATTTTTTGTCCTCTCCCCCGGCCCCCACCCCCGAGTGGCGGATGGGGGGCCCTAAAATAAAATAATGGGGGGGAACCTATTGTCCTCCACCCTGGCCCCACCCCTGAGTGGTGGGTGGGGGCCCTAAATTAGAATAAGGGGGGGACCTAATGTCCTCCCCCCTGGCCCCCACCCCTGAGCGGTGGGTGGGGGCCCTAAATAAAAATTGGGTGGGGACCTAATGTCCTCCCCCTGGCCCCACCCCTGAGCGGTGGGTGAGGGCCCTAAATAAAACTCTGTAACCAATCAGAGTGTTATGAGTCAAATTACACAGCGTGGGAAAATTCCAAAGAACTTTCCCACGCTGTATAAAATGACAGAGTACTCTGATTGGTGGATGTCAAGCCAACCAATCAGAGTGCTGTGACATGTAAATGTAGAGAATTACCTGTCAGTCTCTTCATTTACCTGTCAGAGCACTCTGATTGGTTGGCTTAAACCCACCAGAGTGCTCTGAGCCTAATTGCAGGGCGGGGCAAAGCTTTATAAGCCTTCCCCCGCCCTGCAGAGCTCAGTCTGCGCGGAGCCCTCCGTGGGTGAAGATGGATTTTTTATTTTTTTTTTATTTTTTTTAAAGTGCGTCGGTTATTATGGATTTTTATTTAGCCTTTTTGGGGGGCAGAAAAAAGAAGATTTTAGAAGAAAGAAAACATCAAATGGTAAGTTTTATTTAATTTTTTATTTTTATTTTTTTAAAGGTACTTAGCTAATGGTTCCCCTCATTATTTTTAGGGTGAGGGGGGTAGGTAGGGGTTATTTTTTGGGGGGAGGGGGGTGACTAAGGGTTTGGGGACCCCTAGTCACCTGGGGGAGGAAGGGTTATTTTTTTTAATTTAGGGCCCCCACCCACCACTCAGGGGTGGGGGCCAGGGGGAGGACTTTAGCTCCCCCCCAATTTTTATTTAGGGCCCCCACCCACTGCTCAGGGGTGGGGGTCAGGGGGGAGGACATTAGGTCGCCCCCTATTCTAATTTAGGGCCCCCAGGGAGGAAGACATTAGGCCCCCCCTAATTGCTATTTAGAGCCCTCACCCACCGCTCGGGGGGGGGCGACAATAGGTCCCCCCCCCATTATTTTACTTTAGGGCCCACATTAGGACATTAGGTCCCCCCTTATTCTAATTTAGGGCCCCCACCCACCGCTCAGGGGTGGGGGCCATGGAGGAGGACATTAGGTTCCCCCCCCAATTTTTATTTAGGGCCCCCACCCACTGCTCAGGGGTGGGGGTCAGGGGGGAGGACATTAGGTTGCCCCCCTATTCTAATTTAGGGCCCCCAGGGAGGAAGACATTAGGCCCCCCCCTAATTGCTATTTAGAGCCCTCACCCACCGCTCGGGGGGGGGCGACAATAGGTCCCCCCCCATTATTTTACTTTAGGGCCCACACCTGCCGCTCGGGGGTGGGGGCCGGGGGGGGGACGACCCACCCGCCGTTCAGGGGTAGGGGCTCAGGAGGGGGAAAACTTTCTTTCTTAGCAGTGAGTAGCCATAGGCTGCTCACTGTTTCATAGATATGTCCCTACTTGCGGTATAGTGAGTAGGGGCATAATTTACTAATACTAAGTAATCTTTACTTAGTATTAGTAAATTTGGCTGAAAGACCAATTCAGGTCTTTCAGCCTTTTCGTAGATAGCTCTCTAATACCGTGGGAATTAGGGAGTTATCTACTTATTCATTCCTGTCATTACATTGACTGGCTAAGTAACTTACATTTTATATGAATGTGTGTTACTTGATTGTTGTAAGTGTTGCAAATGCTTACAGCTGAATCCTGGCTATGTTTGAATACTTTTTATTTAAAATTGTATACAGTGTAACATTCTTCTTCCACTGGGTAAGTATATTAGTACTTAGGCAATACATTTTACTTCCTGTTGCAGCCCTCTAGCCCTTTCCAGGACTTTTTTAGAGCCATTTTAATGCCCAAAGTTCGGGTCCCCATTGACTTCAATGGGGTTCGGGGTCAAGTTCAGGTCAAGTTCAAGTCCCGAACTCAAACTTTTTGCCGAAGTTCGGCCGAATCTGGCGTACCCGAACATCCAGGTGTCTGCTCAACTCTACTCACTAGTTCTCAAATGGCCATTGTAGTACTACTCTTGACTATATTTGAAGTGAACGATACAAGTAACAGATTCCTTACCAGTGAATCCATAAAACAGTTACCACAGTTATCGCCATCACCAGCAAAAATGAGGCTGATTGCTCTTTTGACCCAGCAGAGTATTTTGATCCAGAGTTCTTATTCTCTAAATTGAGAGAGAAATCAATGTAATCATTTTTTTTTTTTTTTGGGGGGGGGGGTTATTTTATTTTAGAAATATATCTTTTTTAAAAAAATTACATTAAAGGAATCAATAAAGCACCATAACAACTTTATTAAATGTAGTTGTTAAAGTGTCAGAAGGTCCTTGGCACTGTCTCACCTTAAGAGGTTTAACCTTCTTGACTGTTTTAACACCAAAGTTCCAGCACAGAATCTCTGTGTCTGACCTTCTGTTTTAAAAAAAATCTCTAACTCGGAAAGCACTTGCACAATCCGGCGGTGGCACCGCTGATTGGCCGAGAGAGGTCAGCTGACGCTCCATGCCAATCAGTGAATCCCCATTCATGAAACTGGCCTGAACAAGGTATATTTCTTTCAAGACAATTTTATGAATTGGGATTAAATGATTGGCTAACATCGTCAGTTGACCTCTCTCAGCCAATCAGCGGCACGGCTTCTTGATTCCGCAAGAGTTTTGTTTTATTTAGAAGGGCAGAAAAGCAGGGAGATTCAGCGCCAGGGACTGAGACAGCGCCAAAGGCATCATGACACCATAACAACTAAATTTCAATTAAGTTGTTATGGTGCTCAAATTGTTCCTTTAAAAAAATGTGCCTTACTTCTCTTCACCATGGAATAAAACTTTTAAAATCACCTATAAATAATGGTAACCACAGGCTGAGCAGAATATTTCAGTAAGGTGTGCACGCAGGAATAATTTTTAGCAGGCTGTGTGCCAGGGGTTACTTTGTTTTGCATAGGTGTGGGATGGCTGTAAGTGTTGTATTTGTACCTGTGTGGTTGTAGGTTTTCTTATCACTCCCATTCCCATCACAGCCACACACATCCCTAAAAGCTACCTAAACATATTACTCGTATGTACTCACACATAGCTACTCAGCTACACATGTATGGGTAGCTGGGAGGGCTAGTGCATGTAGGCAGTAAGTGAGAATGGAAGTTGGAATGGGAGTGATAAGAATAGGTAAATATGTGGGTGTGATAGAAGTGGACATGGAGGGAATGATTGAAGGTTGCAGAGAAGAAGGGATGAGTTTGAGTGACAGCAGGTTGAGTAAGGTGGTAGGGATCAGAGGATGGGGAGAGAAGGAAAGAGGAAGTGATGGTTGAGTGGCCGTGATAGGAGCATATGGCGAGAGGAAGTGATGGTTGAATGGCAGTGGTAGGAGTATGTGACGAGAGGAAGTGATGCTTCAGTGGCAGGAGTATGTGGCGAAAGGAAGTGATGGTTGAGTGGCAGTGATAGGAGTATGTGGCGAGAAGAAGTGATGGTTGAGTGGCAGTGGTAGGTGTATGTGGCGAGAGGAAGTGATGGTTGAGTGGCAGTGGTAGGAGTATGTGATGAGAGGAAGTGATGGTTGAGTGGCAGTGGTAGGAGTATGTGGTGAGAGTAAGTGATGCTTGAGAGGCAGTGGTATGAGTATGTGGCGAGAGGAAGTGATGGCTGAGTGGCAGTGGTAGGAGTTTGTGGCGAGAGGAAGTGATGCTTGAGAGCCAGTGGTATGAGTATGTGGCGAGAGGAAGTGATGGTTGAGTGGCAGTGGTATGAGTATGTGACGAGAGGAAGTGATGGTTGAGTGGCAGTGGTAGGAGTATGTGGCGAGAGTAAGTGATGCTTGAGAGGCAGTGGTATGAGTATGTGGCGAGAGGAAGTGATGGTTGAGTGGCAGTGGTAGGAGTTTGTGGCGAGAGGAAGTGATGGTTGAGTGGCAGTGGTAGGAGTATGTGGCGAGAAGACGTGATGAGTGTAGGGGAGGGATGGGTTGAAATGATTGGAGGAATGATCTGAAGAGAGAAGGGAGATGGGTGAGCGAGCAAGGCATGAGTGGGAGTGAGAGGAAGAGCATAAGGATTAGTGGCTAGATAGGAGGGGAGGAATAGATAGAGGAATAGATTACGTGGCAAAAATAAAACAGTGAGCTCCAAATAACAAAATAAAATATTTAGTGATGTGGAGCCCTGTGTAGTGTGCCAGGGGTGTGCTGGTGCCCTCCCGGTATAGCCACTAACCCCCCCTACAGCGTCTAACCCCACCCCCTCTATCCTCCCTTAGTGGGATGATAGATGCTATTGTGGAAGATTAGTATCTGTAGGGGAAGTGTCACATTGTGGATTAGGGGCAGCTCCTGTCCCCACACATCAGCCCCTACTCCCCACTAGACCTTAGTGGGTGGATAAGGGCTATAATTAAAGGGTAGGGCCTGCGGGTGGGTGGAGTAAGAGTTTCAGTGGGAGGTGGGAGTGTTGGGGGTTAGGGGCTGTAGTGGAGTGGGTTTTAAGGGCTCTAGCAGGGGGATAGGGGCTGTAGGGAGTTGGGGGTTTGAGGGATTAAAAAGCTAGGTCAGGGGCTGTAACAGGGGGTTAGGGGCTGCAGAGGTTTGGAAAGAGCTCGATTTATGTGTCAGTTTTTGGCAGGGCTGGAAGATTGGGAGAAGGAAGAGAGAGAGAAATGCACAACACGATATGAAGGAGAATATAGGTTTATGGGATTTGTTTACCCGTCCCTTTGGAAGTAATAAAAGGACAAGGGTTGGTAAATGTGTTTCAGTCAATTCCTGGATTGGTAAGAATTTGCCCAAGGGAGTATTCTTTTATTTATTTTTACTTGTTTTTAATTAATTATCTGTATAAACAAACAATATATAAAAAATAGAGTGATGATGAGCAAGGTGGGCATGTCTTCTAAGTATTCCACACATGTCCTAAGTCTAAGGCTGGCCCTGTCTGTAGGTGGTCCTACTTACTTAAATGTGAATTTTTACCTTGCCCGCTCTGTGATTCGGAGGATTCAAATTGGAGCCTAGAAGCGCAATATTCATTTTGTCCATCTGTACATGAAAAAAATTACAGTCAGAAAATACAGTCACCATGTATCAAATTTAAACAAAATTAGAAACACCTATATGCTCCTGCACTGATTCCTGGCAAATCAGGCCCCTGTTGTAGGAAAGATCCTTACTTGCATGGTTCAGATGATGCCTTTCAGGAACAACTCTCCCACTGCCTTGTTCTGCAAAGATTATTGGGCATTCTCCATCATTCTTTTCCCGGCAATACACACATAATGTTTTACTCTCATGAAAGCATCCATTACAATTCGAACCAATAGATCTGAGATTTGGACATTCTTTATGGTCAACTTTATGGCTGTATCTCACATCTGCTTCTCTGATTTCCAAATTGTCACCATAAACCGGTATCGAACAGTAACATTTGTTTTGATCTAAAACAAAATAAATAAAAACATGATTTAGATTTCAATACTCTGAACTCCTGTCAGATTACAGGTGATGTGAATTCTTAAATCAGTAAGGAGAATTTAGTTTGTTTCGATATCAGGCAACAAACCTTTTGGCTTTTTCTTTTCTTTTGGCAACACAAAATTGCATTCCTAGCACTTTAGCTCTATACAGTGCGTTCCTCACTTCCGCCCCTTCTCCCCCCTCAACCAAAATACTCAACGGGTTAAAAACCCTTAATTCACTTACCGGAATCCAGTGCCAATGTTCTGTGTTGCAAGCACATCAGGACAACCGAAAGGAAAGCATTGATTCAATGCTTTCTGATGGGGTTTTAGCTGATGCCTATTGACCCGGAGGCTGCTCTGCTGACTGTCTGGTAGACAGCCACTAGAGGTGAAGTTAACCATCCAAGGTAATTATTGCATATTATAACTGCAATAATTACAATTGCAGGGTAAACTGACAGGGACACTGCACCCAGACCACTTCAATGAGCTGAAGTGGTCTGGGTGCCTACAGTGTCCCTTTAATTCAGCAATCACGCATACTGATAGGGGATATTAACAGGCAGAGTATGCACCCGTGGCACTCCTATCAAACATGCACCTGTAGGCAGGTGCCTACTCATCTAATGGTAAATCTGGCCATGATTGCAGGGTATGGTTTATTGAAATAATAACCATGAAAACCAGGATATTTTAGTTTGTGAGACTCTAAGTGTGTTGTATTGAACACGGGACTGAGTCTTTCTTGTTTTTTGTAGCTTGTTGAACATGTTTTTGCACTTGCATGCTCACAAAATAGTGCCGAGGGCTTCTTGGCATGTTAATTGTTAAATGGACACTAATGGTACTCATGCTATTTAATCGCAATGAAGTGGTGTGGGTGCAGACCGTTTGTCATTTTAGTTTTGACATCTAAACCATTGTTGTTCACTGGATACAACAATGAATTGATGGCAAGGCTAAGCACACCTCTACAGACTATCTTGCTGACAACCAATAAACGGTGCTGCCATGGCAACGACCGTGTTTGACTCGATTATGTGACAGTCGACGATGAACGTTATCCAATGCTGATCATAGGATTAACTGGCAAGCACATACACAATGCTTCTCTGAGAGAAGCATTGCATTGGATGAGAAACCAAGAACGTGATGTATGTAAGATGACATAACTGGAGGTGGAGTAAGCAATCGCATCAAGTGATTCTTGGCATTAAAAATAATACTATTTTTTTCTTTTTTTTCTAATTTCATTTCGGGGGGAACCCTGAATCTAAATAGGGAGGAGGACACTATAGTATTAGGAAAACATGTTTCTATTTCTAACGCTATAGTATTCCTATCGTAATTGCAAATTTTTTTTTTATTTTTTTTTTTAACAGGTTTACTTGCTTGGAACTCATTGCAAAGATTTTGGTTGCCAACGTTAATGATCATTTTCATGTTCCAAAATGCAATGTTTAGCCATTAGTAATTAGCAAATGGCAGAAGTTAAAACGTAAATCTTTTCAGATGCTATTAGATGCTGGTGCCAAATTATTAAAATTTAAGATACATTAGTGACTGCAACTTAACAATGCCTATTAGATGGGAAAAGGGACATAAATTGCATATTAAGTGATATTTTTTATTAAAGAACATCTCTTTGGTGTGGACATACATATTATTTTTTTATAAATATCTGTTTGGAAGTTTTAAATATCGGATATATACACTAAAGACACCATCTCTGCATGATTGGAACTAACCAGACACACATACAAACTATCAATATTATATATATTTATATACACACTACGCAGCTTGTGACATTAAATATCATATATAGATTTACTTGAACTTACCATCAGTAGATACTGAGGGTATAGTGTAGACGATCAGCATAGTCAAAAAAAGCCACATTGCCTTCAATATTCTTATCGAAATCATTTTTCTTGATCTGTTCAAGTCACTGGAGGATTTTTAATTCCGGTTTACTGGTGATCAGAGACAGAATGAGTAAACAAATCACTTTATTTTGTTTAAAAGGTGGATATTTCTATGCTAAAGAAGACTTTGCAGAAAAACAAATGCCAGTCAGAATTAGTAAAGGGTGCTATATACAGTAAATAATATATTTAGTACATAAAAAACTGGGCTTGAAGATTTGTATAAATAGAACGATAACAACGGTGTCTACATGAACCCTCTACATTTCTGTATCTCAAGGTGTTCTGAGCTTACTCAATGTTACTTTGTATTACAGATCAGTTATTCTCAGTAGCATCATATCATCCCATCTGTACCTAGAGATACCGCAATGGGTCCATAAACAAGGTAATTGCTATAATAACCTATCCATTCCTAAATTGATATGGGTGCCTAAACAGTTAAGTCCTAACACAACTACTGCTCTCCAATCCAACAGTTGACGGTGTACTTGTGTGATGCTTCTAGACATTCACTTTGGCTATACTCTTAAGAGTCATTTCAGTGGAGATTGCCTTTTTAAATTATTTTATTTGGAAAAATATAGGGATTTACCAGGAATATGATTTTGTCTATAAGGTTGTTTCCCAAATTCCAAGTATTCTAGTCTTGAAAATCTCCCTTCCCTGAGGAGACCAGCACTACGAGAAAAAAGGGATGTAAAACTATTGTTTTGTTTCTCCCTTCAGGTGAGGATCGGGGACCTAAAGGACTACAAAGGAACTATTGAGTTAGGAATACAGATTTGTATTCCAGACTCCATATTGTTCCATTATTTATCAAACTACAGCTCTCAATAAAATAGTATTTCAAATGTAAACAATAATGAAACAAATGAAAGAGCGAATATAGTGTTGCAATTCTTTATTCTCTATCAACACCTCTACTATGGCCACAGATAGGGAGACTTCATTTAAATGCTGATATTACCAGCAAAATCATTCATCATTTAAGTTATTTTAGTCTCTTGTAATTACTTCCTTCCTTGTAAGAAGAAAAATAGAAACTTTGATTACATAATATATTTACTAAACAGTGAATGTAAAACCCCTTTCACCAGCACACAGGTGGATAACACTCTCACCTACTTGTGAGACATCCACTCGTGTCCCAAGAGTTTCTGCCTTAGGTAGCCAACATCAGAGGCTTGAACTTTCCCTGTTAAGAGAGATAGAACAATAAATGTTGCCCATAAATAAATAAAAAATCCTCTTTGTGTGCACACCCTCATGAAATGTGCTGTTCACCCAGTGTCCATAGTCCATCATATACCTCATGTACACATAACCCTACCCACCTACACCAGCCAGTCACCAAGCTCACTGCATCCAACAACCTATATGTATCCACCAACGCAGACAAACACAGACAGGGACAACATTGCCCTAGAATATTGAGAACAATGTCTCCTATGATGCCGTTTATTGCGAAAGGGGTAGAGGGTATATAAAAGGAGCCGATGTATAAATAAGGAGAAAAAGTGGCGCAATTTAACTACTATCATTTCGATAGTAAAAATTCCTGAAACCGTGACACGTGGATGCCTCTGCTTTATTCACATGCATCCTATGCTGTTTTGACTACCGGTAGCTAGACATGTAGACTACAAGCAGACAGAAATAACTTGACGGAATGTACTTCCGTAGCTAGCTTGCAAAATTGCAATGTAATAAAACAGGAAAGACCTGGAATCACAATACATTTTCAGTATGGAGCATGAGCATACAAGTATAGACATAAATACCTCATATTAGCACCTTACAATAAACATATAAGAATGCAAAGCAACAATTTAAGCAAATATGCGAGGCATTTGACGAAACTCAAGGCCGTGAGCCCAAGGTCGTTGAGCTCACAGTGAAAGTAAGACTCTACGAGAGGCATGAGCTGTGACCACAGCACATGTGACACCTTAGGCAGTCTAATTGACCTCTGACAATGATATTTAAACTTACAGGTATATGTGTATCCAAATGTAAAGAACTGACTGACCGCATGCACGTTTGCAACAGGAACTTGCACTTTTTTTTTTTTGGTTTTTTTTTTAAACAGGATGCAGAATCACATATCACATGATGAATTGTATTGAATGGCCATCAGATGGTGCTATAGCATAGATAGATATATAATGGAAATTACGTAATTCATATAGAAACATAAAATGTGACGGCAGATAAGAACCATTCGGCCCATCTAGTCTGCCCAATTTTCTAAATACTTTCATTAGTCCCTAGTGTTATCTTATAGTTAGGATAGCCTTATGCCTATCCCACACATGCTTAAACTCCTTCACTGTGTTAACCTCTACCACTTCAGCCGTTCCCCAAATTCCAAGTATTCTAGTCTCGAAGATCTCTCTTCCCTGAGGAGACCAGCACTACGAGAAAAAAGGGATGAAAAACTATTGTTTTTTCTCCCTGCAGGTGAGGATCGGGGACCTAAATGACTACAAGGGACCTATTGAGTTAGGAATACAGATTTGTATTCCAGACGCCATATTGTTCCATTATTTCTCAAACTACAGCTCTCGTTAAAATAGTATTTCAAATGTAAACAATAATACCAAATGAAAGAGCGAATATAGTGTTGCAATTCTTTATTCACTGTTAACACCTCTGCTATGGACACAGATAGGGAGACTTCATTTAAATGCTGATATTACCAGCAAAATCATTCATCATTGAAGTTATTTTAGTCTCTTGTAATGACTTCCTTCCTTGTAAGAAGAAAAATAGAAACCCTGATTACGCATGCATCCACTACCCTCTCAGTAAAGTAATACTTCCTGATATTATTTTTAAACCTTTGCCTCTCTAATTTAAGACTATGTCCTCTTGTTGTGGTAGTTTTTCTTCTTTTAAATATAGTCTCCTCCTTTACTGTGTTGATTCCCTTTATATATTTAAATGTTTATATCATATCCCCCCTGTCTCGTCTTTCCACCAAGCTATATAAACTCATGCATAAATGCAAAACCAAATGCAAATGTTTATAGTGGTCTCTATTTTTATATATTGTACCTACTTTGGGCCTTTGACCATCTGGGCCATTTTGACAGTTGCACATTTTTCCTGATTGCACCACTGAGTGGATTATGCCCTTGATTCTTCACTAACACATAGATCTTGGAATAGCCTTCCAGCTGAGGTGGTAGAGGTTAACACAGTAAAGGAGTTTAAGCATGCGTGGGATAGGCATAAGGCTATCCTAACTATAAGATAAGGCCAGGGTCTAATGAAAGTATTTAGAAAATTGGGCAAACTAGATGGACCGAATGGCTCTTATCTGCCGTCACATTCTATGTTTCTATCTTATGTGTGTTCATATTTTGTGTAATTTTTCTGATACTGTTTGTAGCAGATTGGCAACATTCTTGCAACTCAGGCAGCCTTCATACAGGTTTTCTGATTGATACATTCTTTTAATTTATTCGATTTTATTTATTTAATGAAGTAATTTTCTAATGCTTTATTTTATTTTATCTTTTATGAAGGAGCACTCACACTTGACTCTCTGTTATTTATGGAGATAAGATAGACTGATCCTTAATAACAAGGGAGGAAAACATGCCTTTGTCCAGCCACCTGCACCCACCACTGACCATGGTCAGTAGACAGAGGCTGAAATAATATGATAAAGGAGGTAAATGCCAGTGGTCTCCCCCTCCCCCACGTAGGGATGGCAGGTGGGGACTGAGTGGGAGTTTGTTATAATAAAATAGGACACACCATATCCAACTCACTTCCCAAATGTTGGGGAATGAGGTAATAAAATAACAAGATAATGGTGCCTCAAGTACCAAATGCATATTATCTGTCACCCAGTAGTTAGGAAACCCCAAGGTCCTAACTACCACCCTAAATGTATCTCTACTTATCCCCTTCACACTAATAACAGTAAAGTGGTTCCAAGATTAAAAAAAAAAAAAAAAACATTTTATAAAGTATCTCTGATATGTCACATTGCTGCAAGTGGAAATGTTACAAGTCTCTGCATTCAGGGAAAACAGCCCAAATAGGCCTTCTTATCGATTGTCTTTACCACTTGTTAACCAGGAGACAGACGAATATATAATCAAAACTGCCCAGGCATGTTATATGTCCTGATTATAACATACCTGCCAGATGGGGAGATTTGGATGGTGTGGGAATGGCCCTGAGGGAGCGTCGCCAGTGATTAAAGCTGCGTTCCTGGTGATGACCCTAAAGGGCGAGCCCACCCACTGAAGGAACATGTCAGCCTGGTTCAACCTGGCACCCAGCGTCTGGGACCATGCAAGGAGCACTGGTGAAGGGCTCCCTACATGGCCCTAGTTCCTGCAGCACAAAGCAAGTACACCTAATGATGCCCCTGAGCTGTGCTGCCCAGGGACAGTTCGCCGGTGTCTCAGATAAGAGTTAAAATAAAACCAGATAGAAAATTTTCACCTGCTGAAACACTGAAATATTCGAACAATTTGCAATTACAAATACAAGCTTATATACCAGAGTTAAACATATACACACAATGCAATAAAACAAGATAAAACAGTATCTATTAATAAAAACTTAGCAGCCTCAATGAAAGTATTTAGATTATAGTTTATTGAACTCAATGCAAAATAAATATTTTGGATCCACTCTTTAAATTATATTCAATAAGATCCAAAAAAAGTATATTCAAAATACAAAGGACCAAGCTCTTTCAGTATGGTAGTCAGTAACCAACAGCTTCTTTATAGATACTTTAGATTATTCCATAACTGCTTCTGATAATTCCTCAAAACAATGAAAAAACATGTCATAGCACTATACATTATTAAACAATAATTAAATAAAAAGAAAACCAGGATAGTTTCCCCTACCCTTTAACCCCTTAAGGGCCAAACTTCTGGAATAAAAGGGAATCATGACATGTCACACGAGTCATGTGTCCTA